CGTAAGATTTGTTAAATAAAAGGGAACTCTTTAGCTACAATGTATCAATGTTATGTTATAAAACAAATGGTAAACACCACAGCGTACACTATTGAGCTATGGATGCACTTGGGAGGTTTGCTAAGCACTCAAGGAGCTAGAGTCGCTCTCAGCTATCGCCTCGAGCGACTCTTACGCTTCTTTCATGCTTAGCAACCTCCCGCATGCATCCATAACTCAATAGTGTATGCTGTGGTGTTTACCATTTGTTAATTGTATGTCTCATTAATAAGAGAAAAAAATCTCTTAATTGTCAGGCTTATGACAGGACTCTTGCTGTCTACTCTGATGTTAGTATGCTGCTGGGTACGTTACCATAGATACCACTCCAGAGAATCGATTGAGTCAGTAAAATTAGGCTACATTCCTGTACCTGGGGCTGTTGTGACATATGGAGATGAGTATTACATTCACCAACAGCCACGGCAGGAGCCCTTTGCGCGTGAACCTCCACAATTCAAAGCCGCACTGGAGTACGAAGCACAACAACATGAGAGTTCTAGATATTACCCACCTCCTTATAACTTTATAGAGAGAAGGACACCAAGTGCCCCACCTGAGCCTGGCAATGAATAAACAAACTGCTGTGATCAGTTCCTTACTATGGAAAAGGGAAAAAAATAATGTCATCCCTAGGAATAATTTTCATGGTCAAGCTATTCCCTGGCTTTGCCCATCATTAAGAGTTTAATGCAAACTTATAAAGTCTGTCATTTGCAATCCTTTTTAAAATTTTCTATTCTTTGCTATTCTAGTTCCATTTAAGTTGCAACCTGGTATTTTAAGATTGCCCTCTCTTTATTAAGTAACATTAGGAAATTCTCTGCAAGTACCCTCCTTGACAATGTTACATAGCTACTGGTCACCAAAAGACAATGGTGCCTTACAAAGCCAATTATTAGTGTTTTGTGGCAAGCTCAGAAACACTTTGATAGAACCGTAGCCAGAGATCTAGAATTATTATAACAGTTAATTTAAGGTTAATTGATAAGTTTTTATTCTCATATTCTGAGTTGTGATAGCATGATATCTGTTCTTAATAGCAACCAGAAAAAAATTTGTCTGAGCCTTTGAATTGGAATTAAGTTGCCCTAAATTACAGTAATATTGAGAAATTAGAGACCAAGGAAAAGCTCATAATAAGCAGTGAGAGTTTGTTGCCATAATTTGAGATTCATGAATATTTAACTTTAGATACAAATATGTGTAGAGCTTTGTGCAAAGAACATTGAGTTGCCTTTAATTTTTTTTAAATGAAATCAATGTAACTTTGATGGTTTGTGTAGGGAAATCTCAACTTTCTTAAGGGTATTTTGTCAAAAACTGGACGAAAAACTGTTTAGAAAACATTTGCTTTCATTCTACATAATAGGGAGGTGCTAAATAATATTCTTTGGAAAGAGAAAACTACTAATAAATAAAGTTTATTCTTTGTATTTATTGTACAATCATGTATGTTGTTTTTTTTTTTAATATAAACTTACTACTTCTAACAAAAATTACCCGTAAATATCCCAGTATTTCAGGAAATTTCTGCTATTTTTTGGCACGCTTTCTCTTTGATTTGCTACCTTCATCATCTGTAGATTCAATTGTTGGCTGAAGGTGTCTCATACTTCTCGTAACCTTAAAAAAAATACTTTTTCGTGAGTTTAATTAAAAAATTGTCTAATAAACAAGTACCTTTGCTACTGAAAACCTCTTACAAAAACCAACACTTGTTCCCTGGATGTGCCACGGGAAAAATTTATTTTAAATCGGGTTACCTTTCAGAAGTTCAACAAAAGTCACATTTTTTTACATCAAAAATATAAGATGAATAAATCTGAATGTAATCAAACAAATCAAATACCTACCTTGGCTGCTGTAGAAAATGATCTCTTCTTTATGTCTTTTATCCTTGAGCTCTTTGATATATTTTCCTGAAGTGAGAAATGCTTAATACTAAATTGTATTAGGTATGAAAAGAACACATCTGCATAGACAGATTAGGAGGTGAGGTTAAGTAAACATAACAGCTCTAAAAAATAATTCCACTAGGTGAACTTCATCTGTTCTTAATAACAATCATCAAAAAAATTTTGTTTGGCTTGATTGAAAATTCAAATTTCTGCCTCATTGTCTATCCCAGTTCTGAAAGTATATTCTAGATATATTCTAGATTATTGTATGTGTTTTTATTTTCACAGTCAAATAGTTTTAACTGGTAAAAATGTTTGACCTAAAATAATCAGTTCATGAGCTTGAATGTTTACCTGACTGAGAGCTGAGGTCCCTGGACTGGCCTCGTCATTTGCTGTTGTTGTTAATTGCATGTTTCCTGTTTGAACACTATTTGCATCTGATAATGATGTTCCTGTTTTCTTCTCTAACACATGCTTTTTAAAAACATAAGAATGATTGAAGTATATTGATATCAAAACTTGCTTTAATTAATGGTCACACTCGCATTCAATCTCATCTGCATACAATATCCATCTCAGAGGTCTAAAAACAAAATGGATCCTGACATTTCCTGAGATCCACTTTCCTGAGATCGATTTATGCCTGCATAGGAATTAGGGCAGCATGACCTCTGGGAAAGAGATTCATCTGAATGGCATGCTCAGAGTTCAAGTGAACCTCTTGTGAGAGCGAGTTAGTGTTGGCTGCAAGTAAGCAAGGGGGTTCCATCACCTACCCCTCCCTATGCAAACCCTCAGTTGATAATTGGTGCAGTAACTTTACTTGTAAATAATTATTTAACATACTTATCCAGCCATGCCCTTGATAAACCCTGGCTAATGAACTACTTTGTTGATCAACGCACTGTGAGTTTACAAGACCGTACAAATGCAATAATCAGATGGATATTGGGAATTTGGGTGATCCAAGTATTTTGTTAACAATGTGTCATTAGACTAAGGGAGGCAACATGTCTACACTTAACAGCAAGATGAGGCAGCTTGGGGGGGCACCAAGGCCCAGGGGAGAGTCATGACCAGTTACCCGTGACATCATGGACAACACCCTTAACCCATGACAGCAGACATTTGAGAACATCTTGCCAATCTCACTCCTTGCTCTTACAAGTCCAAGAAGAACTTCTAAGCTGCAACCCTCAAAAATTTTTTTGAACTCGGCTGCCTCAAGTTTTCCCATGTGACACATATTACACTGTCTTTTTACTGCTTACCTTCTGACATCTCATTCGTTTCCAGTCACCAAATTTTTGTAATTCACTTCAGGGAGAAAAAATTCTTATCAACTCAAAGCAAAACTTTAAGATAATCTAAAGAGAGCTGCAAACGAACTTCAAACTACAAACTGTCCGAGAAAGAAAAAATCTATGGCTAATTAACTCCTCCTTGATATACTGTAAGACATAAATTAATATCAACACAAACACACTCAGGGCTTGACACTAACAGTAGCAAACTAGCCACAGACTAGTAGAAATACAGTTTTTGGTAGTGGTTCTTGATCTCCACTAGCCAGTTTGGCTAGTAAACAAACTAAAATTTTCATGACATCGAAGATGTCACTAGCCACTTGGATAGCAAATTGAAAAGTTAGAGTCGAGCCCTGACACTGCCAATTTAATTCGATGATATCACATGATTTTTGCATGCAGTTCACAAAGGAGTTTTGTTGACAAGTTTTCAAAATTGCTACACTATAATTAGCACCAGATAACTCAATACAAATAAATCACGTCTTTATTAATTGAGGAAAGGTGTAATTTACCTGGCAACATCTGTCACTGTTTCTTCAGATATAGCTTTGAATGACCTATCTCCAGTAATGAGCCCTGTTTCTTGTAACTTGTTTTTTAATTCTTTGTAGTTGTTATGAGCTTCTTCTAGATTCTGTAACAAACAAAGCACTTAGAATAAGAAAGAGAGTAAATTTTGAGCTCCATAAAGAAATAGAGAAAGATGTTTTCCATCTTGTCACAAGCATGAGACAAAGAAAAAATTCTGAGTCCCCATGAGGAATCTAACCTCAGACCTGAACAAAACCCTTGTAAGCAAAGAAAGGGGATTTAATTCAAAACAACCAAAACACTCTCTGGAAAGCAAGACAAGTTGTAAAGATCAACCATCAACTTTATAATCCTTAAAATCAGTACTCATGTTTACCTCCATTGCTCGAAACCTTTCCTCCACAGTTTCATTCACCTCCTCAATCAAAGTGGAACTGTGGCCTTCATCTTGGCCAGTAATGGTTTCTCTGGAACCATAGGAAAGCTAGAATATACATGAAATGGTTTAGAGTCAATATTACTATCTGTATTGATTTTTTCCTAAATACTCTAGTCAACTACATTATATCATCCTAAAGATGTGTTTAGCAATTCAATTACTGTTAAACCTTCTGAGAAAACTGTGTAATAGGAAAAAATCCCAAAAGTTACAGGAGTCTGTAAAGTGGCTACAAGTAAGAATAACTTTTTTTAAAAGGATCAGAGTGGCAATCCCAAACAGGGAACAGCAAATCAGAACACAAGATTGACCTCATGTTTCCTGCTTTTTCCACTAGAACGAGAGCTATCAATAAGGGCTGCAACCTGTAATACTTTTTTCAGCTGAACCCGTTTGATGTTCAGGATAAAGATGTTGACTGCTGTCGCATAACACTTAGGCAAGTGCTACACTGCTACAGGTGATATCTCCAAAGTAACAGCTGCCAACGAGCATAGAGAAATCACTTGCTCACCTCTAATTGACTGTTGGAATCTTCTTTCAAATTATTATTGATACTGTGTGAAATACTGGGAGAAGTCGGTGATGGATAAAAAGCCATTTAGGGGTTAATTCCAAGCACCCTTCAAATCATTAGTTTAAAAAAAGTACAAAATTCAATTTTTACCGGTATTGGCATAGCAACAAATAAGAATGCATTTTCATTATTCAGAAGTCTCAAGATATAATCAGCATCGTGATGCTGGAAAATAAAAATTAAAAAAAATTGATTAACGCTTCCATAAATTAAGCTAATCATTATGATTACATTCATTTGGTAATATCACATGACAACTAAATTGTTAGACACAATGTGTATAATTTCTTCCATAGACTTCCTTTAAGGAAAGGAGCATCTCTCCAGGAATTGAAGAAGGAAACATAACTACTAACTACTTCATAATACCATCATTATTCATTCAAACTTTGTTAGTTTATAATCAATAAAGGTTAGGCTGATCATTCATATTATTGGTAATTAATACAGTTATTGGGATACCAATGAGGTAAAGAAAGGTCAAGGACTATTGGCCCACCCAGCTGCACTTTATCCCAGTTACCAAGTAGCTTGAAATGACTAGGAGTAACGTAAATCCTCTATCAAGCTCTTCCCCCTCTAATAGGCCACCCCCCTCTAATAAGCCCCCCCTCTTTAGAGGAAGAAATTTATTAAGGCCTCCCCCTCTTATGCCCTCCCCACCC